TTAGGTAAGCCAAACGTCTGATTAATCGTTGAGATACGGTTGAAATGCGTTAGCGTTATACTTGCTGCGTTTCGTACGGTATATGTCTTGGTGTGGTCGGTGGTCCAGAAGCTGAAGAAAAAGTGATACTGTGCATTTCGACACCAAGGTCGTTGCACACAAATGTCACGTATACTATGTTCGGAGGAATTTCACGCCCGAAATTCATCTCTGCAAATGATACGACCGCGCCTACCCGCTTGTGATTTATATCTGACACGATTTTGTAACTGTAACTTGACACTACTAATCGTAAAATTGGATTCTACGCAGAAAATATCTGTTATAGTCCGACATTCCACGTACCATGGTAATTTGGAATACTATACACGCATCTTTGGGAATTCTAATGTGATAAGTACGTTTACAAGTTGCCGTTGGTAAGTTAGTGAAGACATGAAGGCTGATCTTGCAAGATACGTACTTTAACTCCGATTTAATACCATCTATATGAACGGAGGTATCTACAGTACAGGGTGGCCAATATATAACTGACTGATTTAAATTGATCGCCATAATGAGTCGATTGCTTCAACGATTCGGAAGCTACGGCAAGATTTTGGTCCAAATAATGTGTCCAGTGTCAACACCATTCGTCAGTTGCTGCGAAAATTTGAACAAACAGGTGAAGTTAAAGACTTGCCAAGGTCGGGACGTGTTGGAACTGTTCGTACTCGGAAAAATATCGAGAATTCGTCAAAGTGTAGTGGAGCGCCCTGAGACGTCTACCAGACATCGTCATTTTGCACTATTTTAAAAAAGACTTGCATTTGAAGCCATATAAAATTTAGTTAACCCAAAAACTACAGCCTAAAGGGCATGAAAGTCGCCGACAATACAGTCATGAAATATTGCAGCTTAATTTTTTTTATACTCCAACTACCACGAAGGCCTAAGGCCTAAGCACCCATTGGGTACCGTGGGGCTATAGGGGGATACATGGGAAGGGGGGGGACGCCACACGGACTCTGGCGAGGGAACACGTGTGCATGCAACATGCACACATTCTGGCTCCGCCTACGAGAACCGCCGGGTGGTACCTCCGCGTTCGACAGTCAGAGACCATCTACCACCTACGGACAATCACAACATCCATAGCCAGGAGAAAAATTTCTCCTGGGACGGGACTCGAACCCGCACAGCGCACGGCGACTGATCAGGAGACCGAAGAGTCTACTACTGCGGCCACCGCTGCTGCCTATTTTTTTTATGGACAAACACACGACCTCACAACATCCATGGCGCAGGCGAGATTCGAACTCGCGGCCCGGCTGGCCGGCTGATCAGTAGCACGACACTCTGACCCACGCGGCCAACCGAGGTACCCAAAATAACGATTTTTACCGACAACTGATAATGAGCGATGAAGCTCACTTCGATAAGAACGGATTTGTGAATTACACACAACGAGGGCACGGTGATGATTTTCCGTAATTCTCCTAATTTTTTCGTAATTTATAACTTTGAACATAACCTCTCCTCAGAAAGCACAACATATAAATAACCCGTCATATTCGGCATATTCAGTAATGATTTTCTCACACAGCAAATATCACTGATTTTATACACATGCAGACCAATACACAAAATCGTCCAGATGCGATCTTGCTATCCAACCAACTTTCTTCTCGGAGATAAAAACTACAGACCCGGATCACTCAGCCTCACAAAACTATGCAACCAATAATGCGTAGTTTAGTTGAGTGATCCCTCCATAGATGGACGTTCACAACGATCCTAGTGAACAATCGTGGAATGACTGTTTGCACCCTAAAAACTTCCTACTCTGCAAGTTGACATCTTATAGGTTTTTTTTTGACGTTTTATAGGGTTTTTACATGATATCCGTGCGGGTCTTGCCTCAAAAAATGTTTGCAAAACTTTCAACGACCTTGACTGCAGTACAGCAGCTACCATACGTTCCCGCCTAGTCTCGTGGGAAGTGAAAGACACTCATGAAAAACCTTATTCTTCAATATTATCGAAAGTTTTTCACTACGGAAATCAGATAACGCTTAGGTGTGATCATAATTACTACTTTCATGCATAATTAATACACATGTAATTAAAAATTGTATGCTTGCACAGGTTATTACTTTGTTTTACCGTTTGTGTAAACTGTTATATAATTATCAATACCATTTAAATGTTGGAATAGCTATGGGTGACCCAGTTGCAATTGCAGAAAACTTACAAAAAATGGATTTGTTTCACATTTCACATAGGTCATTGATTCTGGAATTTGACCTTATAAAAAAGTTGTTGACTCTGATGAAAAAACTTAAATACAAATGAATAAAATTTGGGAAAAGTGGACGCTTGACCACATTGAATAAACTAAAAACCGCAAGTCTCCGAGCGTAAAAAATAAATTCCTAACCTTCGGTATTTGATAACTGATAATTGCATAATTATGCTGATTAATGATTCTAGGAGTGAGATATGCGTAATGCCGTTCACGAAACGTACCTCCTAGATGCTGAAAACATAAGAACAAAGATGGGCTTTGATTACGATGAAAATAGATTTTCAACTCGAAAAAACGTTCAGACTTTTTCTTCAAAAGTACAAGTATCGATTATGATACATATTGATTCCGATGTACTGGTTTCGCCATTTTGAAAATTCAGTCAATTTCATTACATATTAGTAATCACGGACTCGAAGAAACCTCCAGTCTAAAATTTCCGATCACTTCACCAAGTTTCGGCTTTTGTTCACCTTTTTGAAGATAGGCTGTATTGCAAATTGATACGAGTAATATTGAAACAATTCTGTTTTTCTCAGATAGACGGGGATACATTTTTCTGACGAAGGTAAACTACTTAACATGTGAATCATCTCTAAGAAATGGCATCAAGTAGGTTGACTCTGCACTTCCCACGCAACGCCGTTATCAGTTCATAAAGGAATATGATCGGCACAAACTAGATCCTCTGAGAAAAGTCAGTCAACAGTTTAAGTTCAGAGAAACATAAGATGTGTGAAATATGTCTAATACGTACGTACACTTACCATACAAATGTACTAACATAAAAAAATTGAGTTAAACCCCTCAAGAATTCAAGTCTTTTTACCTCTTTTTTCAAAAAATGATCAGGATTCTCTGAAACTTCAAAAACGAAGTTTGAGAGATTTTTACTTTTTTTCGTTTTAGGCCCTTTTGCTCTGTCGGCATTGGATGATTTTCAAAACTACAGAGCTTTGCCTCCTTGGCATAGTAGTAAAATTGTGTAAAAAATATCATCGACATCCGAGCGGTTATAAGATTAACGGAATGACCGAGAGAGACTGACAGACAGACCAACGGAAATGGGTGCTATGGTTTTTCGTGATGTACATGTCACAATAACATCCAAAAAAAACATCCCAAAATTTTCGCGTTTTCAATAACAGCGCCAGTAGGCGTGGAGAAGTAAAAACGAACAATCATTACTTGCGTGAGTGCATGACCCTCGCATTATGTGAGAAAAATCCGATCGCTACTAAGTATTGGATAGCAAATTACCTGCTCATTTTCAATCCGATGGCCTGCACACTATTATATAAAACCAATATTCTTGGGTCAATTTATTTATAATGACAGGTCAACATCCCTTCTTGCATGCTATGTAATAAAATGAGAGATAGAAAATGCTACAAGGCAGACTCTTCGGTCTCTCCTGATCAGTCGCCGTGCGCTGTGCAGGTTCGAATCCCGTCTCAAGAGAAATTTTTCTCTTGGTTATAGATGTTGTGATTGTCCGTAGGTAGTAGATGGTCTATGACTGTCGAACGTGGAGGGGTACCACCCCGCGATCTCATAGGCGGGGAAAAAATGAGTGCATTTTGCAATGCACACGTATTCCTTGCCAGAGTCCGTGTGGCGTTCCCCCTTTCCTCTGAATCCCCCTATAACCCACGGTACCCAATGGGTGTTTACGTCTTAGGTCTTCGTGGTGGTTGGAGTATAAAAAAAACAAGGAATCCCAAATCAAGAACAATCCTAAAACGTTTTATTTTGTGAAACCATAGTTACAAGTCACTTTGCGTATTACGGGAGAACATTTATATTATTAACCAGAGCCATTATAAATGAATCTTTCGCATCCATTAAAATACCTGACGTAAATACCGAATGTGTTCAAAATTATTGGGATGATGTTATTTAAACTTTTCTTCAGAGCCGTCCATTTGGGACCTATGTGTCTATAGGGGCCCTCAGAACAGCACATTAGTAAAACTAGTCCAAAATATTTCCTTATTTCGAATATATGATCTGTATTAATAGTTGGCATTTTACCTGTGACCCTCTATTTTTAACCGAAAAGTGTACGGAACCAGGTTCTACGCACACTTTGTCACTGTGATACGGGCTATCGATTAAGCAGGCATCCATTCAAGTCCACTGCCTTTGATCCATTTCACAAGCGACCAAACTAATGAAAAGATTTTTTTTTTGTACTATAACTCTATTATTCTAAATATATTATTAGTGGCTTTCTAAGGTAGATCGTTCTTTTATATGTATATATATATGTATGTCTATATATATGTGTATATATGTATGTGAGTATATGTATATACAGGGTGACTTCGAAGTTGAGTCATTTATTTTAACAGTGAGTAGATCTGATCAAAAGAAATGTTTCTTTCCTTTACCATTTTTCTGGTAAAATTAAAGTAACAAGTTATAGCCCTTTGGAAGTTTGAGTACCGCCCTGCCTATTATATGCTCGTGTTTGGCGACAACGGATATAATCCGCCTGACCGGTTCATCGCATCGGAAACAAAAAAGCGAAAGAATTTGAAACGTTATCACGATGTTTTTCGTCAGTCGATAACGCGTAAGTGAATAGTAGTGTGTTGCGTGGTTCAAACGAAATCAAAAATGGCACATGTTTACGAAAATGCTGAACTTGTGGACATGACTCTTATTTACGGGGGGGCAGTCTTTACAAAATGCTCCCGGATGCATCACGGATTTATGCGAATCGGTTTCCCAATCGAGTGCAACCAACCCCTCGTGCCTTTGTTAATGTAGTACAAAGGGCTCGTGAATTAGGTGACTTAAGACCTCACAGGTGAGGGCATGCTGCTCCAAGACCGCACGATCAAATACAGGTCCGCACTGAAATACTTGTCGGGAGGATACTTTATTAAACAAGGTAACATTTTTTTTTATTTTTTTTATTTTTACACACATATTTTGGTTTATCTTCCTTCTACAATCATTATCTGAAAATTAATGACTCAACTTCAAAGTCACCCTGTATATATATATATAAGAATGTGTAATAGGTAAAGGGCTGAACTTGTATCATTTTTAAATGCCTTCAGCCCTTTTTTGTAACATATCTCATTTAAATGTATTTTACTACTATTTTCACCTAACTGTATGTTGCAAAAAACATTATTATTATTATTATTATTATTTAATGCAGACAGTTCAATGCATAATATGCGGCCCTGTGGACGCGTAGCATTAGCTATCGTTACAATAACGTCCTGGCGAATCCGCAACCAAATATATGGTGCAAATATGGCGACCTTAACTTGGAGTGACAATGTAAGATCGTGGATTAAAACTATGATTCTATTTTGATATCTGAAGTTGGGGAACGGTCTGCTGAAATACATTTAATGTCCGCTCGGATAGCACTTGCATTCTTCTGTTAGCGAGGCATTAGCGCAAGATTCCACTTTTAATAAGATCATCAATCAAAATGGTTTACACGGATCAACCGGCGTATTTTCCGATTCAAAATACCGATGTGATTTACGGCTGTTTACGCTTGTTTGAAGATACTTGGAGCCTCCGAGGAATCTGACTGACTTAAAATAAATGAAAGAAAACATTGGCAGGATGTTTGTGTATGAGGCTTAAGAGAGTGACAATAATTAAATGAAGGCGTTTCGAAACATAATACAAGAATTTCGAATGTCAAGTCTTTGTGCAGAGCAAGATGTCATTCTCTTATGTACATATAGAATCGAATAAAAATAATACCACACGTTTTTATAAAAGATAGAGATGTTATATGCACTCAAAACAATGGACTTACTATTCCATACAATGTTGCACCAGACGCTAGCTCAGCAACAGATAACGACTTCTCGCTAACACGTTGTTTACGCTTTATTTTCTAGAAGTGCTTTGTAAGCACACCAATAGTATAAATAGGCCTTGCGCCCATTTCATGTCGTTCATTACCGGCTAGGCACCGTAACAGTCACTTATGTAAACTTTATGTTCAATACCCGGTTAGACTCCGTAAATGTCACATTTGTAAACCTTTGTATTTTTGTATGGATTGAAGCCTCAGTCCTCAAATAAAATTTTTTTAAAAAGTTATTTCTAAATCTAATGATTTAAGAAATTGGTGTCAGAAGTGGGATAGCTTCAACGCATTAGAACAAGTGCATACTAACTAGTGTGGTGGATGCCTATCCTTTAAGCTGAAAAGGACCAACGAGCCTTAAGAAGAAAGAAAACTACAAGTAAGAAACTACAAAGCAACAGGAAGAAAGAAAACAACAGGGGACACAGCGAGCAGCAGCCACCCAACTGCAGACAGACTACTGGAAACATCGCAAGAGATCCACTAGCCGCCTGGAGAACACGACTGCCTCCCGATGTACCCTTGGTAACGTACAATTTTAATCTAACTATTTTTTGCGATTTATCTCTGTGTGTGTGATTTTTACAACTTTTTATTTGCATTTTTGCGCATTTACTCTATATATTGTCGATTTTCACGTATTTTTCCCCATTTTTACGTATTTTTCAATTTTACATTTATATATTCTTGCATTTTCCCTTGACATTATTGAATCTTTTTGAAACAACTTTCCATTTAAAATGTCTACTAACGGTTCAGATGATTACCAACCAGCTGAAATTCCTGATAACGTTCATGCGAACATTGAACCTTATA